CATAGACTCTATAGACTCTGCATAGACCCTCCATAGACTGCATAGACCCTCCATAGACTGCATATACTTTCTATAGACTGCATAGACTCTGCATAGACTCTCAATAGAGCCTCCATAGACTCTGCATAGACCCTCCATAGACCCTCCATAGACTCTGCATAGACCCTCCATAGACCCTTCATAGACTCTGCATAGACCCTCCATAGACTCTGCATAGACTCTCTATAGACTCTGCATAGACCCTCCATAGACTCTGCATAGACTCTACATAGACTCTCTATAGACTCTGCATAGACCCTCCATAGACTCTGCATAGACCCTGCATAGACTCTCTATAGACTCTGCATAGACTGCAGACTCTCCATAGACCCTCCATAGACTCTGCATAGACTCTGCATAGACTCTGCATAGAAACTCCATACTCTGCATAGACTCTGCATAGACCCTCCATAGACTCTGCATAGACACTGCATAGAAACTCCATAGACTCTGCATAGACCCTCCACAGACTCTGCATAGACTCTCCATAGACCCTCCATAGGCTCTCCATAGACTCTGCATAGACTCTGCATAGACTCTGCATAGACCCTCCATAGACTCTCCATAGACTCTGCATAGATCCTGCATAGACTCTCCATAGACTCTGCATAGACTCTGCATAGACTCTATAGACTCTGCATAGACTCTGCATAGACTCTCTATAGACTCTGCATAGACTCTGCATAGACCCTCCATAGACTCTCCATAGACTCTGCATAGACCCTCCATAGACTCTCCATAGACTCTGCATAGACTCTCTATAGACTCTGCATAGACTCTCTATAGACTCTCTATAGACTCTGCATAGACCCTCCATAGACTCTGCATAGACCCTCCAGAGCAGAGACGGTAGTTGTGATCACAGCCTGTGATGGAACACACAGAGCAGCTGGAGTGATCTGAGCTTTGTCTGGCGCCAGCAGCACCAGCAGCGCCAGCACTCCGGGTGGCAGCAAAACACAACGCAACCCTGTGTCGACCATGGTGTGACACAAGAGGAGGAAAACCGTAAATTGTCTGTTTACTTTGCTTTACGTGCACCGACAGCTTGTTGTCGGTAAAACGGGGCAGGGCCACCGTTCTCCGTCAAGCTAACCTCAATGAAAAGAAACGCGAGTGTGCCTTCACAGTAAACTTACCGTCGCCGCTCTGAAGACATTTGTTGATTTATTTTGAATGCTGTGACCGGGACGTGTATCCGTAACTCTGAGATCTGACCGTGTTTGGGCCACAGCTGCAGATCCGTAACGCTCGGCTGAATGTAAGGCAGAGACGCTATCCGACGGTACATGTGCGCGATAATACAACGCAGAAGGAACCGTGCAATTGATCACATATGGATCCCAACCGGATCATCCAGGCTCTGAAAGGGACTATCGAGCCTAGTCTGAGGATAGCTGCGGAGAATGAACTCAACCAGGTGTGTGAGCTAAAGCGGTTTCTTTTTCTTTCGTTTGTTTTCTCAGAGGAGCATTGCATCTTAGAGGCATCACCGGCAGTTTGGCCCAGAAACGATGCCGGTGTTTGTAGAGGATGGAAGGCCGTGTGTTGGTGAGTGGGCTCGGCTTCGGCCTGGTGATTCTCCAACCCTGGTTTGGCAGTTGATAGCAGGCCTGGGATCAGTAGTTTGACAAAACTATTCCCCACACTGACTCCGGCAGCTGCATGAAGAGCAGCTCGGTCAGATGTGAACCACCAGGAGCTGTTGTGGCTCCAAACTTTGTCACGTCAACGCTGGACTCCACAGAAACATATTAAACTGTGTGTCCGGTGGTGGTGATGGAAATGATCATGGCTCTTAAATAATTGATGAAAGAAATGTGATGTTTTTATAAATAATGTGAATTTACAGCATCATAATGGACCTGATGTGATGTGATACCCATGCAGACCGTGCTTATAGACTCATCTACACACACTTCACAGAGCAGTTCGTTTCTATCCCACCCTCAGTAATTATGCATGTTTTGCCATAAGTCATTCAACTGGTCTCTTCTTTTTGTATTTTGTTATTATTCAATAACACATGATGGTCTAAAAGTGGTTTACGAAGAGTTTACAATATTCCTTCAGGTTGTGGAAAATATTTGGAGTAGTTGTATTTAATCATTTATATTTTTTTCTGTGCCTGCAAATAATGAAATTGAATGACACCAAATACAGTAAAACTTCATCGTTTAAAACCAAAAAAACCAAGTTTACCTTTGCTTTCCATGCACACGACATGATAACATTATCCATGCATCATATCGTCTGCAATGCAGGTGTGTCTCTAGCTCCTCAAAATTCACTATCATTTCTGTATAAAATGTGTTAACTCAGTATTTGAGGATGAACCCATGTGGTTCCTTCCTGCCCAGACTCTGCTGGGTTCAGCTTCTCTATCTGTTCATTCTTAATGGAAGACGCTACCATTCAAATGATCCTCTGCATTACTATAAGACTTTGACTTTCATGTCAGCATTTGGTTATCAATATGTGTTTTACAGTCTAACTGCCTCGCATAGGTCGGACAGTGATCTGAAACCATATATGCCACATTACCTTGATTTGTATTAAAGTACTCCAATCAGCTGAGCATAACTGGGACACTAGTGAGCATGCAGCAGGCTGTGTGTAAAAGATGTCCGACTGGATGGCAATTACTTACCGTTACATTTGGGACTGACGTCAGTCTGGTTCTGCATTATGTTATATGGGCAGCAGTTTGAATGAATGTATAACACTTCTCTCGTTTGGCATCGTCAAACAGACATTGTGTTCAATTCAATTTATTTCTCTATAGCCCAAAATCACAAATTACATATTTGCCTCAGAGGGCTTTACAATCTGTACACATGTGACATCCTCTGACCTTTGACCCTCACATCAGAACAGGAAGAACTCCCCCCAAAAAAAACCTTAACGGGGAGAAAAGAGGAAGAGACCTTAGAGAGAGTAACAGAGGAGGATCCTCTCTCAGGATGGACAGAAGTGTGATAGATGTCATGTGAACAGAATGAACAGCATAACAGAGTTACAACACATTCAATGTATATGACAGAACCACGGCAGGAGGCAAGACCAGCGTCTTATTTCCTTATTGGTCTTTTGAACTTCCACCTCAATATTATCTCCTTTTAAATTTGATTCACATTTATGGACATTTTACAATCCTAGATTTACAAACTGCTGATGAATAGTTCAGTGATTGGGAACAAGACTTAGGTGTTGATTTAATCAAAAGAACAGGCAAGTCAAGTCTTCTTGTTCATAACTAGAAATATGAGCACAGCTTTTTTGAAAACTTTTTCTAACATTCTCTTCTTTTGGGCTTCACAAGGCTGAGCTCAGTCATTTCAGCTTCATTTTGTTGTAAGAAGGACGGACACCAACCACACTCCTTTCTTCATCATTACATGTATATGTATGTATATATGTATATTAGGGGTGTAATGGTACAATACAGTGGTGCCAATGTTTGGTACGTTTTCAGTTCAGCAAAAAAGCAGAAATGCCAAATCCTGGCTGGTGAGACACTCAAGGGGGTGTGTCTGAAGAACATGGCTCCTCCCATTCAGTAGTGAGGTCATGTGTCGTTACAGTCAGGTAGCTTTGTGTCTGAAGAACATGGCTCTTCATCTTTGGAGTGCGAAGATAGGTTCAATATCAATAATCACAACAATATAATTATAATAATAATGATAACAAGATAACAACAATTCTAAATAAAAATAGAATTAATAAAAAGACAGGTGATGAGAATAGATTAGATGGGGGGGGGGGGGTCTGTGTTTCTGTTTGTGTCTTTGTTGGGTGCATGTTTGTGAATGTTGTAAGGAATATGTAAGGATCATAAGTGTGACGGCAGATATATGTATGTGAATGATGGTGTGTATCTTTATTGTGGTGGTGGACAGGCAAAAAGAGTTGAGTGAAATTTGTGTAAAATTTAAGAGTTAAGGGTTTTGACAAATGAAGTCACAGTCAGCGGTTTGTTTTTTATTGAGGCAGATCATTGTTCCATTGATATTATTCTATTTATATATTTTTTCCAAAGTATGAAACTGATTTTGTGTCTTGATTTCCAGTTCAGTTTTCTTGGTGATGATTAGGGCTGTGGAGAGTGCTCTACTGGATGGGTTGTTTAGGTTGAAAAGGTTGAGAGGGGGAAGTGGGATGCAGCAGCCTAGAAGGAGAGAGAGGTTGTTGCTGATGTTATGCCAGAATTGTTTGATTGGTGTGCAGTCCCATGTGCCATACATGTAGATGTCTGTGGTGCTTTGTGTGCAGTGCGGACACATTTCAGAGTCTGTGAATCCCATTTTAAACATTCTTTTCCCTGTGTAGTGTACTCTATTAATGATGTTGTATTGAATGACTTGCATGTTTGTGGATGTGGAGCAGATGTTTTTAGAGATTTCGGTCCAGAAGTTGGAGCTGGGGGTGATTTGTGGTCTTTCTTTAAGGAAAGGATATTGTTCTGTCGGATGCGGAGATTAGATAGTATTTTTTTTTTCTTTTAGTGACGTTAAACAGGTCAGATGTTAGCTGAGGAAGATCTGAGTTAAATAATTTAATGTTGATTTTGGTCTGAATCGAGGATTTAATCTGGAGAAATTCTAGGAAGTGATTTTCCCCGATGCCGTGCTTCTGAACCAAATAGGAAAATAAGACTACGGTGTTATTATGGAAGATGTGTTAGAGATGTGTGGTGCCTTTACTAGTCCATAATGAAAAAATTAGTTATTTTTTGTTCAATAAGAAGTCAGTATTGTTCCAGATAGGACTGTGTTCATTAGGTGAGATTGTGGTTGAATTTCCACCAGACTGTCAGAGTTGTAGCTATTGTCTGGTTTTTGAAACATGGATGGCGTGTGATGGAGAGGTTTATGAATGGTAAGTCTGAAATATGGATGTCTTTACACAATGTTTTGTTTATGTCTGTCCAGGAGTTGTCAGATTGATTGGGATTTGTCCATTTGTGACTATATTGGAGTTGATGAGCAATGAAGTAGTGGAGAAAGTTTGGTGCTTCCAGACCTCTTTGGGTTTTGGATTTTTGTAAAGTGGTTAGTTTGATTCTAGGCATCTTTCAGTAAAATTTGAAGATGATGGAGTCTAGTGATTTGAACCAGGAGGGTGGGGACTTGATTGGGATCATTGAGAATAGGTGGGTCATCATGGGTCATGGTCATTTTGATGGAAGCTATTCTGCTGATGAGGGTTATTGGTAGATCCATCCAATATTGAAGGTGTCCTGTACTGTTTTGAGATGTGGGTTAAAGTTTAGATGAACTAACTCTGACAGGCTGGGGGAAACGTTGATTCCTAAATATGTAATATTACCAGTGCGCAGAGAAATGGGTGGTGTTTGGACTGCCACATCCCAGCTGTTGGGGCTAAGGCGGAGAATGTTTGATTTACATCAGTTGATAGTCTAGTCTGAAATTTTAGAGAAGGTGTTTATGAGGCGCATGGTTTTGGATAATGAAGAGGAAGGAGTTTGTAGGTATAGTAGAATGTCATCCGCATAAAGACTGATCTTGTGGTACATATTTGTTGTTTGCATTCCTGTGATGTTTATTGTTTGACGGATGGCTGCTGCAAGTGAATGATCCAGAATGATTATGGAAAATAAAGTTGGAGAGAGTGGTCATCCCTGCCTAGTGCCCCTGTGCAAAGTGAAGTGTTGTGATATTAATCCATTGGTGAAATGTACAAAATCCTCACCCAGTGGGTAAATGATTCCCCGAAAAAAAAATTTGTTATAGTATAGAAAATAAAAATTCCCAGTTTACCTTATCAAATGTCTTTTCTGCATCTAATTACACAAGGGCTGTCTGTGAGTTTGTGTGAGATGTGTAATGGATTAAGTTAAATAGTCTGCATCGGTTATTTGATGTGTATTCATTTAACTCTTCTAGCCCTTTACGGAGAGAGCTTAGCGTACAGCTTGTCGTACAATGCACTTATCAGGAACGAATATAATGGATGTTATATACATATTATATACCTGATTAAAGAAAAAAGTCTGGGCTACAAGGTCATGTAAGCCGTTTTTACATGCTCCAAACACAACTCAAACAATTCAAATAACCAACTATAAAATGACCAAAATATCATATTCATATTTCGCCATGAGTGAGCCGACTCCGCACTCTGGTAGGAGCTACCGAGAGATAGCTGCATGCTAACAAAAACGAGATGCCAGAAAGCAAGCCAATTCTACACAGATTCCAGAGATATCTTCAATATTTCTCTCCGTGAAACCATTACCAAGATATGAGCCAACAAACACCAGAAACACAAACCGCTTTATCGATTATTATCAGAAACGCGCCTCACTTTTCACCGTTTTCTTGAAGACAAAAGCATAAAATCCCAGTATTTTCACTCGGATATCTGTTCAACGGATATCCTGTTTGTCATAAATCTGTT